TGTGTGTGTGTGTGTGTGTGTGTGTGTGTGTGTGTGTGTGTGTGTGTCTTTATTCCCAGCACTCAGGAGGTAGAGGCAGGAGGGTCTCAACGAATCTGAAACCATCCTGCTCTGCATAGTGAGTGGCAGGCCAGCTACATGGAGTGTGGGGGGGGGCATTAGAAAGTTTGTTAGAAATGCAGCCTGCTGAGTAAGAGCCTACATTTTAGTGGGAGTCTCAGGGGGCTTGTGTAATCCTAAAGCTTGGGAAGCACTGAGCTAAATTGCTTCCAAAGTGGCAAAATCAAACCAGCGTTCTTGCACAGAACAGTAAGCACTTGAGGATGCCGAAGAGACAGTAAGTAGGGGGAGGCCATCAAAGACAATGGCCAGTGCGAACAAGACTGGTCTAAGGGTGACGGGTGGAGAATGTCATGAACAGAGCCAGAAGTGAGCCTCCCACCCTTATGCTGCCTCCCCACCCACATGCTAAGGGAAGCAGGGAGAGAGGCCCCTGTCGTCATCTCCCACCCATATTCCCCCTTCTTCCTACTCCGCCTGCAGGAGCCTGGATTCCATCAACCTTATGGCTTATGACTTCCACGGCTCCTGGGAAAAGACCACAGGACACAACAGCCTCCTCTACAAAAGGCAAGAAGAGAGCGAGGCAGCGTCTGGGTTCAGTGTGGTAAGTGGTCAGTAGGTGAGATGGGGTCCTCTGACAAGCAGGACCTGCTCAGTGGCCTCATTTGAACCCCAACCCCCTATTGAAAAAGAAAAACAGGAAAACCAAGCGAGACACCAAGGAACCAGGGTCTCCCTGGTGTCTTTGCCCCTTTATTCTATCCTGCATTCTTGGGGGTGAAGCCTCACTTTTGGGCAACATCTTAGATAACAGAGCAAGTCACTTTAATGACATCAGACACACAGAGAACCAATGGGGAAGCTTGAACTTGGCTCTCCAGCCAATATGACTCGCATGTGTTTTACATGCTCATCCCTAGTCCAAGGTTGGTGATACCAAGGAGAGCATCACTCAAGGAGGAACTGCCAGCCTCAGAAAAGGCCAGGCTGGTCTTAGTTGTGTTTTCCTGCCTGACTCTTTCTCCTGAGAAGTCTGGATACTTTCCATAAACCCAGTCTATACCTACAAGTCAAGAATAACCAGATCATTTCTCTTTCATAAATCAACCACCACAATGCCCCCTAAATTTGAACGCCTTTTGCTTTTGTTGTCTTGTATCTCTTTTGGCTGGAGTAGGACATTTTTATCTCTCTGACCCTTTCATGATGTTCATTCTGTGGGCTGGAGAGTCACAGCAGGCCTGAATGCTCACCTTCTCTGGAAGCCTGGGTTTTAAAGGAAGCTAAACAGCTCAGCCCCTTGGAGAACCAAAGCCACAAAGCTGGTTGGCACGTGGGACTGAAGTCCACAGCTTGGTGTTCTCTCGGCTGGGAAAGGAGGCCTTTCCCTCTGACCACAGGTCTCCTGCTTGCTGCACTGTGTGTCCGAGGATTGATCCCAGCCAGAGGAGTCCTCTGTCCAAACATACATAAAAATTCCCTTTTAGATTCTCAGGGCGAGCCCAAGCTTTTCTCTCAGAAAGCTGGGGTTCAATCATGGGTAAATTCTTCAGACCAAGAAAAAGAAATCGATGCAATGAAAACTGTCCTTTACCTAAGAGGCCTAGACTCACCTTGAGGAAAATGAGCCACAGTCTAGGCCTGAAGGATGAATCTTCACCTATCAATACTTATTCAGTATAACAAGATCAAATGTATCTTCCAGCCATTGGCCTAGGATTGCATGCCAAGTTCCATGTGATTGTGGAAAGGCCTTGTTCAGAGGTGGGTGTTTAGACCCTGGACATACAGACCCAAGTCCCCAATCTTGTTCTTTGGTGAATCTTCAAACCATAATAACTAACAGAGAAAATGCTCACAACTTCCTGTGTCACATCTGCTAGGTTCGTATATGCATTAAGTCCTTGAATTCAAATGGTTATTTGTATTAGTTTTATTCTAAACACTTTGCCAAGTGAGGCAGGAATTTCTGTCAGCATTCTTCAGTGATGTATTCCAAGCCTCTAAGACAGAGCATGGCACACAGTGGACTATCGGTGACTCTTTGTCTGGTAGACAGTTGCCTGGTTCCAAAGCCCCGAATCTAGCTATTGGGCCTTGCAGCTTCTCTCCCAGGGTTCCGGAGTTTAAGATGGGACTGAAAGAAGATGGGCATGAGTGGGATGCTCGTGGAGAGCCTCGGGTCCAGCAGAGGAGGTCCTTCCTCTACCCACTTTCTCTAGAACCCCATTCTCAGGCAATCAGAACTAAGGTAAAGACAGATTAACCAGGCTCTCCTTCTCTACCAGGATGCTGCTGTGCAGCTCTGGCTGTGGAAGAGGACACCTGCTAGCAAACTGATCCTTGGCATGCCCACCTATGGACGCTCCTTCACCCTGGCCTCTTCATCAGACAACGGAGTTGGGGCCCCAGCCATGGGGCCTGGTACTCCAGGACCCTATACTAGGGAAGGAGGGATACTGGCTTACTTTGAGGTAAGAAGGCCTTTACTATCCTGAGTATGGTGGAGGGCCAGGGGCTCCTGGGAGGTGAGAGGACTTCTCCTGCAGTTGCTGAGTAAAGGAGGTAAGCATGGAGAATTCTGGCCAAGGGAACTCCTTTCTACCCTGGCCATCTTGTGTGTATCCTTAAGCTCAGGTAACTGAAGGCTAAATCCACAGTTCTAGGCTACTCCACAGAACCTATCATGTTCTCTAGGCTTCCTCAGATGGGTAGTTTTAAACCTCTGGTCTCCTCTTAGCATGGGGGAACAGGTACTGTTAATCCCAAAGATTCAAGAAGACTACTGGCCCAAATAATCATGGCCAAATTAATTAAAGTTTTTTTTTATTTGTGTACACAGACTGCCTTCCCTCTAAGACAGAGTTCAAGAGGTAAGCATTAGACCTGGGGAAGATAAGGTTTTTATAGCTCAGGTGTAGGGGGGTTCCTATATAGGGGATTTGTTAGGCAAATAGGTGGGGTTACAAGAGCAGAACTTTAGCATATCAAGTTGGTCATAAAGACCTCCTGAAACAAGACATGATTTCAAGGTGGTCATAACAAAGCAGCCATAGCAAGGTTGTCATAACAACAGGTGATCATAACAACCTTTTGAAACAAAGACATGGTTGTCATTTTCTGGAACAGGCAGTACAGAACCATTTGTAGTTAAAGTTACAGATGGGGCATAACCCAAACTTTGAGAAATAGAAGTTTAATCATAAACAGGAATGAGCCCAATTTGTCTTAAAAGATGGGTTTCAAGCCTAACGTAGAGGCCTGTTTATCAGTACCTACCAGTGCTCTTCTTCCTCCCTAACACAGCTCTGTTCTACAGGTCTGCTCCTGGAAGGGAGAACACAGAATTAAGGACTAGAAGGTTCCCTACGTCTTCCAAGACAGCCAATGGGTGGAATTTGATGATAGGGAAAGCTTCATAGCTAAGGTGAGGCCCAGCCCTACTGGGAGGGGGTGGCCCTGGCAGATCTAAGGCCTGTCAATAACACTAGCCCTCATACTCTCTTTGTGGATTAGTGTTCTTGTAAGTGCCCCAGCACTTCACCCTCTTCACGTGACAGCATTTTAAACATTTATCATCTGTTGATGAAGAAGAGGCACAATGAAGGTGGGGATGTGGCTCAGTGGTAGGGTGTTTGCCTGGCATGTACAAAGCCTAGGGTTCAATCCCTAGTACAGAGAAACATGCATGCACACTCATTCATTTTGTGTGTGAGTGTGTGTGTAAGAGAGAGAAAGAGAGAGAGAGACTATGTGTGTGTGTGAGAGAGAGTGTGTGTGTGAGAGAAAGAGAGAGAGAGAGAGTGGGTATGGGTATGAGAGAGTGTGTGTGTGTGAGAGAGAGAGAGTGAGTGTGTGTGTGTGTGAGAGAGAGTGTGTGTGTTTGAGAGAGGGTGTGTGTGTGTGTGTGTGAGAGAGAGAGAGAGAGAGAGAGAGTGGGTGTGGGTATGAGAGAGTGTGTGTGTGAGAGAGAGTGAGTGTGTGTGTGTGTGTGAGAGAGAGAGAGAGAGTGTGTGTGTGTGTATGGGAGAGAGAAAAAGAGAGAAAGAGAGTGTGTGTGTATGTGAGAGAGAGAGAGAGAGAGAGAGAGAGAGATTTCTCTGCATGAGTAATCCTCTTGATCAGATTTGTATTTTACCAAAATGCTAAATTCTATAGGCACATGGGAGGCAGATATACGTGTGGTGGGACCTGGGATTTTTATCCAGTCTGTTGGCCAGATTTGGAGCTTTCAGAAATGCTGATAAAGTGTCCTGTGGGAATTAGAAAGAGTAGATGCTGTTCAAGGAAATGGGGGAAGGTGTGGGAGGAAGCGTGCTTGAGGCAAGTCCTAAAGTGCAGAATGTAGTCATACAGGGAGGAAACTGTAGGCAGCAGGGTGGGGAAGGAAGCGATGGACCCTGAGAACAGGGTGGGACCCATGAAGGAGAGTGAGGCCGGTAGGGGTCTAGACCACCCTCCATCAGCTCCCAGACACTCCACGGACAAACCTCGTGGTGCTCTGAATATCTCTGAGGGACCACACAGCCACAGTATATTTGCTGAGGGTGGCAAAGAAGTGAAGATATGAAGACAAAGCTTGCTTCAGAAATTTCTGGAAGCTAAGAGCTGATTCCCTGTGGTGACTGAACCTATAACAACCACTAGGAAATACTTTAATGGACTATATGTGCCCACCCCACCCCACCCCACCCCCAGGTCAGCTATCTGAAACAGAAGGGGCTGGGAGGGGCCGTGGTCTGGGCCTTGGACTTGAATGATTTCACTGGTTCCTTCTGCAATCAGAGCCAGTACCCTCTCATCCAGACCCTGCAGCAGGAGCTGAGTGAGTAGGGGGACCAAAGGCTAACTCAGGGAGAGGGGTACACACCCTCCCCTCTCATATGTCTTTTGAGGAAACAGCTGTGCCCCAATATTGTGATTTCTCAAGCTGCACGCACCCCAGGGGCTAAGGAAACTGTTGAAACCGTGTGCTTCTGCACCCCCTTCCTGTTTCATGTTGGCAATACCTGCCAGGGTGTGGAAACAGGGACTCCCTCCAAGCTCTCAGCCTGGGGACAGCTGTTTGCTCTCACCAAGAAGAAAGCCACCCCTCACCTTGTTGTGCGGGACCCCCTCAGGTGTCCCTCACCAGTATATGGCTAGGTGTCACAGCTAGGATGTAGTCCCCGACTCCCTACTACGTTGCAGCCCAGGTGGTCTTCCAGGCAGTGCCCAGCAGTCGTGGCTGTGGTCTGGATGTGGTGTGTGGGGAGCTGGGCTTCTGCTGCCTGTGGCTGCTGCCCTGTGTTGGTGTGTGGTTTGGAATCTGTTGGGCCGGTACTGGTGGTAGCTTCATCGTCTTTCTAGGTCTTCCACACATGCCTCCAAGAAGCCCTGAACAGGAAGATCCTGGGCCATACCAGTCTCCTGAGCCAGAGCAGGGACCCAGCCCAGGGCTAGATACCTTCTGCCAGGGTAAAACTGATGAACTCTATCCCAACCCTGGAGACAAATCCAGTTACTACAGCTGTGCATGGGGACGGCTGTTCCAGCAGAGCTGTCCCCCCCGGCTTGGTGTTTAGTGACTCTTGCCAGTGTTGCACCTGGAGCTAAGTCTCTGCAACCCTGTCCATCCCAGCCTGAGGCCAGTCCTGGGATCCCCCAACAGCTTGCCTCTGTGTTCCCAAGGGGCTGCAGGCTTCTCTGTTCATTCAGAAGCCTCTGCTCCACTTCTTGGCTTCCTTTGTCTCTTCTGGCTTCCCCTTTACCTGCAAGATAAATTTTCAGTTTTCACCCCTGATAGTAACTCAAAGAGGGTAAAGCACGCTGTTGACTCAGAAACTTCCCTAGGGGACCAAGAGAACATGGGTGGCCTACAACAGGCAAAAGTCAGAGCCAGAAGGTGCATTTAGGATGCGCCAGGCCCTGTGAAAGTCTCACCTCACTGAGTCCACCTGCCAGCAAGCATTTGCCATGCATCTTGCCATGCAAGCATCTATACAGGTACAGGTGACAGATGCAGGGCACGGGCAGGCTCTGCACATCCGCTGGTCCTTGGTTCATGAGCCTTTGGGGAAAGATGCTTAACCTCTGCTGGACACTTATTTATTTACCCAGTGGACACGCGATGGCAGCAGAGAAGAATTTTTCCCAGTTTACCGCTCTGTCTGCTGCCACTAGCAAAGCCACCAGCCATCGGTGGACTGAGTCACCCAGGCACACGCCCGGGCTCCAGCCTTTTCCATAAGGACTGTCTTTGCACTAAGCGTTCACTTGGAAATGAAGCCTATGGGGGCCTCTCACGGGCCTCATCTCGCCCACCACTCCCAGTAGGTAGATGGCACAGAATGATCGTTAATCTACATTTTACAGGCATCTCAGTAGAAGACTGATTCTAGCTAGTTCTGAACAAAGGCCTAAAATGGGCCAAGACAAGCATGTGCCCTGGGGACCACCTATTAAAGAGTGGTCTAGCTGGATGGGGTGTCACACGCCTACAATCTCAGAACTCACGGGGCTGAGGCAGGAGGAATTTGAGTATCAGGGCAGCCTGGGCTACAGAGTGAGACACTGTCTCAAATAAACAATCAGAGAGAAAGAGCAAACGAATAATACACATCTCTTGCAGCTTCGGGCGGCACTTTGATTGTTGCATTTAAAGAAAAATCTTCACATTCCCTAGAGGTCCATCCTGTCATGCACTTACTGGAAGCCTGGTTGGGGAAATGACTCAGATAGGCTGTTGGGAATGAGTTAGTGTTGGAGAGAGGCTGGTGACTGGGTTCTTGTTCGTTTGAGCGCAACCACAAGGCCTGAAGAATGCCTTGCCCATTCCTGCACGTTACCTGCCCTTCAGCCTTCTGCAGTCTGCTCTGCTGCCCCAAACTGCCTTCTTTTGTACATATTCCCTGAAGAAATCCCTAACCACTTAGAGCAGGGTCCAGGGGTAGCTTCTTTATGGAGCACAGCTGAATGCCGGGTGACTATAGGCCCGTCATGTGCTAAAGGCTTCAGGTGGGAGACTAGCCTGGGGTTTCCTCTGTCAGATGGGGGCACTCCTGCTCTCTGGGGGACTAGGAAAAGGGGTATCTGGTGCCAGTTTGAGTCAGCAGTCTTCCTTCTTTCTTTGCCTTCTGTCTGCTGACTAAATCAAGAAGCCGACATACTCTCCTGTCAATACAATATGCTCTCCTGAGCGTTCAAAGGACCAAAGTCCTCCGAGATACCCAACATTTTGTCTGAACTAGTTCTATCCATGGGGAAGTAGGACCCATGGCCTCTCTGGTTTTCATGACCCTGTCCACGCACCCCGCCCCCAAGACCCATGGCCCTGCCAAAGCACAGGCCAGGTCACCTCTTGCTAAGACATGACTTTTCCCTGTTCTCTTCCTTCTCCAATCCATCCTCCACACCCAACCAGTTTGATCTTTATAAATCAGGGATCTAATCCAATTACCGCCCCCTTGCTTAGAAACAGCTTTCTCAACCCAAGGAATAAAGTCCCTAGCTCCCCAGCAGCAGCAGAAGCGGTGGTGGCGGCGGCGGCCGTGGCAGCGGCAGCGGCAGCAATGTTGAGACCGCTTGTCAGGCCCCAACCTCTTGCCACACGAGTTCCATCCCCTAGTACCCAGCTGCCGATGTTAACCTCAGGCATCCAGAGCCCTGTGTGGCGCCTCCAGGTGGCCCCCCTCACCCAGCTTACCCAGGTGCACCCCTTTCCCTGAATGGCTCTTTCTGAACCCGGAGCACTCAGTACACCGAAAGGCATTTGTGCTCATGCTGACGCTCCACCTCCACTGTGGGCTCTGGGCCCGTGGCTCCGTGTCTTCCACGGCTCCGTGCGCTCCTCAGCACAAAGCAAGCGTCTGTAACAGTCCTGGAGCAGAGTGGACACAGCGGGGTGGGGCAGTGTGGGGTGGGGTTGGGCTGGGGGTGCAACGTGTCCAGGGCTGGGCTTTCCAGGGCCAATATCAATATTCAGCAGACAGTGAACAAATGGGACCCTTTCAGGTGATAGCGAGGGCTACAAGGGAAAGCCCGTGTGACTGGAAACGGAAGTGGGTGTGGGTCGGGCTACTGGGCGGTGTGTTAGGAAAGGGCCCTCAGCAAAGGTCACATTGGAGCTTCCTATAAAATCTTCAAAGATTTGCCTAGATTATCCTCAGATGCTGGATCATTATGTGTGGCCTCTCTTCCCTGGCTGCTTTGTTGACTGAGTTCATAAGACAGAGCCCCTGCCTTGGTTCTCTCTTCCCATTCACCCAACCCTGATCCTGGTCCTTCTTCTAGCATGGGGCCTTATCCAAAACTCCAGGTCGGTGGCTGCGACCACAGCCTCGTACACAAGTCTCCCCGAACAATGCCTGTTTCTTCCAAACTTAGGCCTACCACCGTCCCAATTCTTACCTTACCAGTGGTCTTGTGGGTAATAACAGTGATCAGGGCTCCTGGGCCACCGCTTTGTGTCCCTGCCTTAGTCCGGCCAGCTCAGTCAGTGCCCCGGCACACGGGGCACTGTGCAGTGTGGCTCATTACGTCCCCCCCACCCTCCACCCCACTCCCCGCCTCCCTTGCCACTTCAGACTGCACTGCAGGGCACGGTCTTGTTCTGGCTCCCTCTGCCCTGTACATCTCCTTTCCTTGATAGCCTCACCCCCCACCCAGAGCCAGCCTTGGGTCGTCTCCTGCAGGACCTTTCTAGGGGCCTTGGGTCGTCTCCTGCAGGACCTTCCCAGGGGCCGTGGCACACCAGGGATGCTTCCTGCCACCCTGTAGCCTGGGCTACCTCATTCACGTCTGCAACTGGGGTGCTCAGGGGACAGTGAACTCTGCCCTCAGATTTCCAGCTCCTCAAAGCACAGACAGTGTTTCTCTTCTTCCGCTGCTCATGCTTGAGGCTCTGTTTTTAAATATTTTATCATTAATTTCATTTTTAATTTAATTACATAAATTCCAATATTACTTAATATTCATGAATTTCAAGATGGCCTTTAATTTAGAAGTGAAAGCAAACCTTGAATTTCCGATCCCCAACTCTACCTCCCAAACGTTGGGGTTCCAGGTGTGAACCGCCACGCCCAATTTATGTAGCATGAGAGGTGGAACACCATGCCTTGTGCCTGCTAGGCAAACACTCCGCTAAGCTAAACTCCCAGCTAATTTCCTCCCATTTTTATCTTCAGGTACAAAAATCCATTCTGCACCCTAGAGAATTCCCCTACTGAAACTCCATCGTGCGGCAGGGCACGGCCCTCCAAAGTTTATCAATTAAGCATCATTTATCCTTTTAATGTTAACATCCAGCCACTAGGAATTGACATTTCTTGTCTGACTGGGGACTGTGCAAAGCAGAGATGAGTCACATAGCAAACCCAATTCCTTTAATACTCATGTGTCTCTATAAAGTATCCTCTGGCCACAGGGCCAATTTGTGATGGAGGAGGGTTATCTGTCTATTGTGTTATTTTCATTGGTCAATAAAGAGACTGCCTTGGCCCCTTGATAGGACAGAAAATTAGGTAGGCGGAGTAAACAGAACAAAATGCTGGGAAGAGGGCTATGAGCCAGACACCATGGAGTCAGCCACCAGGTCAGACATGCTGAATCCTTCCTGGTAAGCCACCACCTCGTGGTGCTACAGATTATTAGAAATGGGTTAATATCAAGATATGAGAGTTAGTCAGTAACTAACTCTCTAGAGATAATGGGCCAGGCAGTGCTTAAATGAATACAATTTGTGTGTTGTTATTTCTGGGACTAAGCTAGCTGTGCGGGAGCCAGGCAGGATGAAAAGCAGGCCTGCCCGCAGCTCCTTACTACATATGGCGCCCACGTGGATAACTGAATCCACAGAAAGCCTGAGAAAGCTTGGGAAAGAATAGAGTAAAGCATGTTTTGTTGGTAGCAGCAATTTCTCGGGTCTACTTTGCTTGCTAGAGGCAAGCAAGGCTCTCATGGAAGAGAGGCTTCCTGACTCAGTTTTAGCTGCAAAACCTTGCAGCTCATTAAGAGGTCCTGCCACGAAACACTTAAACAGTGTTGATGAAAAGCTGAACGCATGCTTTTCGGTTTTAAGCTATAGCAGGAAAAAAGCTGTGCTGTTTTAAAATGTCGGCTTTCTGGGCTGTCCTGCCAAGGCAATCTCTGACTCTTTCAGGCAGGCAGTCCGACTGAGTGTGGTCTGTGAGCAGAATGCTGCAGCTTGCTTGCTGGCAAGGACCTTGAAACGCCATAGAGTTGTGGCAATGAACACAGCTCTGGCTGGTATCTCAGCCATGAGACTGGAGAGCTGGGGACTGGGTTGGATCTAGCCGTCAAAGCCACTGCTCTCCATATTGCTTAGTAAATTAAAGGCTCATGTGTTCAGAAAAAGAGAGATATACAGTAAAGAGAGATTCAAAGAGAAAACCTCTAAATATTTTACAATGTGTTAAAAATATATACAGGCTAAAAGTTAAAGTTCTTAATGTAAAAAAAAGGAAGAAAGAGAGTAGTTGGGTGTGGTGGTACACACCTTAAATCCCAATGCCTGGGAGGCAGAGGCATATTGACCTCTGTGACTTCAAGGGACAGAGGTAGAGATTGACCTCTGTGACTTCAAGGTGTGGTAGTGC